ATAATTGTGAGCTGCTAAGAACGTGTGACAGATATGGCATTTAAAAAATCGAATGAGCCCGGTTTCATGAAAGTGTGTATAGCACGATTTTCTGTTTCTATTTGGCATGGGATTTATGTGTAGAAATGGACTTTGGCATGCATATGATACACAATCAATGCTTGTAGTAGAAAAAAAGAAGTGGTGGTACTCAACCCCACTCCCCCACCCAAAAATAAATAAATACAAACTAAAGTACTAAAAAAAGTACTTTTTAATTTTCATAATTTGCAATGAATGTATATAGTGCCAAAATAAATAAATAAATAAATTCATTATAATGGTTTGCAATTCAATTCACATTTATTTGTGTAGCACGTTTCATGATACACTGTTGCGAAGCAGCTTCACAGAAAATGAACATTTGTACATTACATTTAGTAGTTTACAGCACTTTTAATAAAAAAATTGAACAAGTCAATCTGCGATACCAAACAGGAACACGGGGACGCCAAAAGACCACTAAATGAGCTACCTTGACCTGACTGATCCAGATTTACTAAACCACTGACTACTGCGTAATCTAAAACACCTTCAGCCAGCATCCAGTATTAAACACTCGTGCTTTTAAGCCAAATAGCTTGCTGATTGTTTATTTTTTTTACTGACATCTGTACGTGAGTACTAATACTATTATCTCTGCCATCTCTGATGAAATCGGCCATGTTTTCTCTGCATTAGCGCTGTTCTGAACTTACTGTTTGAATGCATTTGCTTACTGGATCCTTAGACTTTCCAGGAGTTTGCCAGTTGATGTGATCGCAAAAAAAACCTGCTTCTTTTTATTTTCATAATGTATTGTTGACACGTGCAAAACAGATACATTTAGACTACTACTGTTATGATTTATGTTAATCCTTTACTATGATTTATGACTTATTTACATTAGTTGGCATATGCGCCAATGTATGTTTGTGCCAGTGGATGCCCACACTCCAGGTTGCGTTTATTAAACTCAGGAGAGAAGATCAACTGAACAACTGAAAACACCTAATCCTAACCATTTCGTATCATATGCACTGTAACATTAACTTTATTCATTAAATTAACCAAAGTCCCAAAGTCAGTATAAATAGAACGCCAAATAGAAACAGAAACTTGTGGTATTGATACGCACTTTCATAATTTATGATATAAAGCTGCATAGATTTTTATTTTAAGACAATCATATGCTCTCACGGGCCACATAAAATGATGTGGCGGGCCGAAATAGGCCCGCGGGCCTTGAGTTTGACACGTGCATTAAATTGATCAAAAGTGACAGTAAGGAGTTTTATAGTGTTACAAAACGTTTGTATTTCAAATAAATGTGGCTCTTTTAAATGTTCTCTTCATTAAAGGGGTCATATGATGCTGCTAAAAAGAACATTATTTTGTGTATTTGGTGTAATGCAATGCGTTTATGCGGTTTAAGGTTAAAAAAACTAATTATTTTTTATCCTCTATGCCCCGTCGATTTTTACAAAGCTCATCGGTCTGAAAAGCGAGGTGTGCTCTAATTGGCCAGCTATCCAGTGCATTGTGATTGGCCGAATACCTCAAGCGTGTGACAGAAATGTTACACCCCTTACCATACTGTGATGCCCTGTCCGGCCAGAGCGACGAGACAAAAACATTAAAACCCATTATAAACGAGGCATTTGTTGCATCCAGTGGGGACATAATTACGAATTATAATGACTTGTACTGTCCTTTTACACGTTGCATTGTGCCACGTAAACATAAAACCATGTCTGCATTTGTGATCGCAGAAATGACAAACAACAAGCGCTACTCTACACTGCTCAAAACTCGCGTTTGAATCATCAGTGGAACTTTTTAATTTTCATAATTTGCAATGAATGTATATAGTGCCAAAATAAATAAATAAATAAATTCATTATAATGGTTTGCAATTCAATTCACATTTATTTGTGTAGCACGTTTCATGATACACTGTTGCGAAGCAGCTTCACAGAAAATGAACATTTGTACATTACATTTAGTAGTTTACAGCACTTTTAATAAAAAAATTGAACAAGTCAATCTGCGATACCAAACAGGAACACGGGGACGCCAAAAGACCACTAAATGAGCTACCTTGACCTGACTGATCCAGATTTACTAAACCACTGACTACTGCGTAATCTAAAACACCTTCAGCCAGCATCCAGTATTAAACACTCGTGCTTTTAAGCCAAATAGCTTGCTGATTGTTTATTTTTTTTACTGACATCTGTACGTGAGTACTAATACTATTATCTCTGCCATCTCTGATGAAATCGGCCATGTTTTCTCTGCATTAGCGCTGTTCTGAACTTACTGTTTGAATGCATTTGCTTACTGGATCCTTAGACTTTCCAGGAGTTTGCCAGTTGATGTGATCGCAAAAATAATGTATTGTTGACACGTGCAAAACAGATACATTTAGACTACTACTGTTATGATTTATGTTAATCCTTTACTATGATTTATGACTTATTTACATTAGTTGGCATATGCGCCAATGTATGTTTGTGCCAGTGGATGCCCACACTCCAGGTTGCGTTTATTAAACTCAGGAGAGAAGATCAACTGAAAAACCCCACACACCTAATCCTAACCATTTCGTATCATATGCACTGTAACATTAACTTTATTCATTAAATTAACCAAAGTCAATTTATGCGTATAAATAGAACGCCAAATAAAAACAGAAACTTGTGGTATTGATACGCACTTTCATAATTTATGATATAAAGCTGCATAGATTTTTATTTTAAGACAATCATCTGCTCTCGCGGGCCACATAAAATGATGTGGCGGGCCGGAATAGGCCCGCGGGCCCTGAGTTTGACACATGTGGTGTAGAGTGTGGCTTAAAAGAGTTATGTGTGAAGACAGCTTACTGTTTCTGCTAACCTCTTCACGTCACCCGCACCCATGAGGCCTTGAAGTGCTGTCTAGGTACACTAGGGTTTGAACAGAGCTGACACACACTTTAATTACACCAATTCACCAGATGAAGAAGCTTTGCTTCATTTTGCTGTCTGTCGTTACGTCACATGCACGGTTGAGTGAATATAGTGCAGTTTTAGGATAAAATCAGTGGCAGATGCTTTTTTTTCTCCATAAAACTTAAAATGTTGCAACTGCAACCACACCAGAATTTTGTTGTAAAATAATACAGTAGCAACATTTTAAGTTTTATGAAAAAAAGCATATTTCATTAACTATAATGTGGTGTTTACATATCAAAATGCTAAGATCTGTTTTGTTTTTTGTTTTTTACCTTTATAATATATTGACAAGCATCATAATCACACAAATGCAAAACACCATCACGGTAGCACACAACACTCGATAATGCAATAAACATTAGTTTAATGACTTAAGATGTACTGATAAGAAAAAAACAAAACAAAGTTATTACAATGAATAACAGGCTTTAACAGATTTTTTATTACAGGCCTTAAAAAGGTCTTAAATCAGAGCGAAAATCTTTAAAATTATATATATATATATATATATAAAAAGAATATCTTCCTCTGTATTTTTGTACACCAGAATTTTGTTGTAAAATAATACAGTAGCAACATTTTAAGTTTTATGAAAAAAATATATTTCATTAACTATAATGTGGTGTTTACATATCAAAATGCTAAGATTTGTTTTGTTTTTTGTTTTTTACCTTTATAATATATTGACAAGCATCATAATCACACAAATGCAAAACACCATCACGGTAGCACACAACACTCGATAATGCAATAAACATTAGTTTAATGACTTAAGATGTACTGATAAGAAAAAAACAAAACAAAGTTATTACAATGAATAACAGGCTTTAACAGATTTTTTATTACAGGCCTTAAAAAGGTCTTAAATCAGAGCAAAAATCTTTAAAATTATATATATATATATATATATAAAAAGAATATCTTCCTCTGTATTTTTGTCTTGTTTTCCAAAACAAGTATCTAAAGATCCTTAAATCAAGATACATTTACTTGAGATGCAAAGTGAACATATGAGGTCTTGTTTTCTGAGAAATTGAACAAAATAAAGTGAGTTTATGCTTAAAACAAGAACTAATATCTGTCAATGGGGAATGAAAACTTGTTTTCCCTTTGAATTAAGTTGAGTTTTCTTAGCCCGTTGGCAGATATTTGTTCTTGTTTTAGTCATAAACTCATTTAATTTCAATCAGTTTCTCAGAAAACAAGACTTCATCTGTCCTTTTGCTTCTTAATTAATTGTATATTGATTTAAAAGTCTTTTTGCTATTTGAAATAGAAAAGACAAAGATACTGAGGAAGAACTGCAGTTTTTGTATTTACTGTATCAGAAGATACAGCTATTTCCATATTAGTTCTATTTTGTCAAAATGTAGTGAAAATCTCAATCTGAAGGAAGTTTTCAAACATTTTAAAACTTTGAAGTGTTGCTAATACAACTCATTGCATGCTCCCTAGACATTTACATATAGAGACCATATTGACCTATTGCATCAATTTATTCTTAAAAAATAATAAATGTATCTTCAAAAAACCTGCAGAAACCCTAAAAAACCTTAAAGCAACAAACAGCCTGTGATGTGATATGCAAGTAACTCCCACCCAGCATCCTCAGCTGCTGCGCAGACTTCATACAGATTCACTGGAAACATGTTCTTCAGACACACCATCAGTATGTGAAGTTGAACGCTGGCTATATTTACAGTTTCAAACACTGCACGCTATACAAAGGGCTCGCTAGAGACGTGTTGCTTCTGCTTGTAGAGTATATTTGTGTATTTACGGCTTCCTACAGGAAGCTGTGGCTCTGCTGCGCGACGCTAGCCGACTCCGTCTCTCCAACACGACAAACCCGCTTTCGTTCGTCCCGTATAGCATGTGAACGCCGTCCACATGAGTCTCCTGCGCCTCCACAGGCTCTCAGTGTTCTGGAAGAACTGGATGTTCAACCAGGATGCTGACGTCTCTGAATCTGGTTCCTTACAGGTGGAGAACGCCAGCGAGAGCGACGATGCAGCTCTGCAGGGAAACTCGCGCCGCCGCTTCCATAAGGTGAACGCCGGAGGAGAGCGGCAGCTGATCGAAGACGCCACGGTAAGACGCCGCGATCTTTGACTTCAGTCAGACACGGGATTGATTTCTAGTGTTAGAATAATTCAACAACCTTTGGCGCAGGAAATATTATTATTTTAAACGGCAACCTCGGTACTTCTGAGAAACATTTTTTTTGAAGTTTCTGGTGTTCATCAGTCGAGGGGAGTTTCTTCTCCTGATAGCATCAGTAGCTGTCAGTTAGTCTTCTCCGTAATCTGTTGGACACACTCCTCAGCGCTGGGACACGAGGCTTTCGCCGTTATCTGCTGCTGGTAGTTTGTTAGCAGAGGCTGTGTAGTTTCCTGAGAGACCCTCATCTTGAATGTGTTGTTCTTCTCTCTGTGCTGATGCCATGTCCTGTAGCAGGTAAGCGCTCAGACTCTTGCTGCATCCCAATTCGCCTACTTATACTATGCCCTAAAAGTATGTACTCTTTTTGTGAAGAAAAAGTACATACTTTTGAGTATGTAGCAGAAAAGTAGGCAAGTTTGGGACATGCTACTTCGTCATAACTGCGTCTTTAATGGACGCTCTGTTGCTTAGTTACGTGCATTCTGTCACTGTTTAAACTGGCCTGTCAATCATCTTGTCACAGTTAACATCATCAACAATTCGTTTAATTTAATTTCATCCCGTATTGGAGAGAAATGAACAGGCACATTGATCTGCCAGTCGCAGGTCTATCATGACGAGAACTCTCTTCATATGTTTGCATAAGTTAATGACCAAACGTATAAAAGTTCACAATGTTGCTGCAGATGAAATATTATGCGCATAACATTAAATACATATTTTTTAATCAGGTTAGACATTGATTATTTATCACTCAAACACCTTTCTCTGCCTGTCTGTCGGTCTCGCATATCCACCATGTTTGTAGTTTTTAAACAATTTTTATGCGATTTTGTAGTTCTGATTGAATCCTGGTCCACCACGCAATGTGTTGCGGGTAATATTAGCCATTAGAGTGCGCATCGATCTGCACTTCGAATTTTAATCTCAAATAGTAGACCATCCGGGAATCTTTGACATATGCTTTTCAACATGCTATGATTTGGGACATACTAATTCTTTAATCTTTAAAACACATGCAAAATTATTTTTTTAATATAATTTTTATTTTCAAAAACAAATGTAATTAATTGTAAAACAGAACACTTTTTACTATTTCAGTCTCTTTCCAAGCAACCCAGAACAGACTGCCTCAGAAGAAATTAATTAAAATGTCACATTCATTATAAATAAAGAATAAATTTAATAAAAATAATAGTAACAGGAAAAATGTAATTATACATACACACACACATATAAATGTATACACACACATTGAAATGAACAAATAATATGAAAATAAATAAATAATCAAATTAAATCAGATACCACCTGCCAAATTCTTAAATGTTCTCTTTATTTTAAATGTATTTATTTTAAACTCCATATAAATATATGCAATGTGGAAAAAAATTTAATTTTCAGATTGAATGCGTGTGTGCACATGTTAATCATTATTTTCATGTATAAATGTGTGTGTGTGTTGTTGTTGTTGTTGTTTTTTACAATTATAATAAATCTTAATTCATAAATGTCAGTTAGTTTTTGGAGAGTTGCACCAGATGCCTTGCTGACCTCAACACACGTTCATGAGAGTCTGCTGATGTCCCCTCTATGGTGACATTAACATTATAAATCTTTTTTTTTTTTAAATCACGTTCATCACAGAAGAGTTATATTCAGTCTATTGAATGTACAAGCTGCGTGTTTTTAATGTATTATTGAGTAAATGAGCAGATAGGACATGGTTGTGTGGGTTATCAAAGGCTCAGTTGTTATGTGAAGTGATCAGCAGTGAAAAGGAAACATGGGAACGAAAACAAGAGCAGAATGCAGGTTTGTGGTGTTGTGTTTCCTGTCAGTCTGCAAGACGTCTGGGCCATCGATTAACAGTCAAGCCTCGAAGATTCACCAGACTTCTGCAATCAGAAGATCATGCTGTGTTTCCCCAGCATCTCTTACTCCATTTCTCATGAAGAGCTCAAGGTGTTTCCTGAAGTTACAATATCAAAAGTCTGCAGAGACAACTGTAAGACTTCCTGAAAATTGTAAACAGCAGTTGCATGCTGGGAAACCTGTTCATTACAGTGCATTTGCATTGTAAGGCTTAATACACAGGTCTGATTTTTTGACCATATAGGACTGTATTTTTTTGTCCTGTCTGTTCATTTAAGACTCATAACCGACATGTGCTCTGTTGCTGATCGCTTTCACTGATAACACTTTATTTTAAGAACCAATTCTCACTATCAACAGCTGCTTATTATTGCATATTACTAGTATATTGGCTGATTATTAGTGCTTACGAAGCACATATTAATTAACTGATTTCATTAGTTATTTTATCTACGGCTCAAAAGATCTAGAATTCTTGTAAGTAGTAGAGTAAAGCCTCTTTCACACTGCAATTCTGAAAAATATATGGAAAATGTGTCCCGTGATTTGTCCCGGGATGGTTTGATTTTGGTTTGATAATAAATCAGCATATTAGAATGATTTCTGAAGGATCACGTGACACTGAAGACTGGAGTAATTATGCTAAAAATTCAGCTTTGTGTCACAGGAATAAATTACATTTGAAAGTATATTAAAATAGAAAACCAGTATTTGATATTGTAATAATAATTCACAATATTACAGTTTTTTCTGTGTTTTTAATCAAATAAATGCAGCCTTGATGAGCATTAGAGACTTCTTTAAAAAAACATTAAAAATCTTACGAAAAATATATGGAAAATGTGTCCTGTGATTTGTCCCGGGATGGTTTGATTTTGGTTTGATAATAAATCAGCATATTAGAATGATTTCTGAAGGATCATGTGACACTGAAGACTGGAGTAATTATGCTAAAAATTCAGCTTTGTGTCACAGGAATAAATTACATTTGAAAGTATATTAAAATAGAAAACCAGTATTTGATATTGTAATAATAATTCACAATATTACAGTTTTTTCTGTGTTTTTAATTAAATAAATGCAGCCTTGATGAGCATTAGAGACTTCTTTAAAAAAACATTAAAAATCTTAATCCCAGACTTTTGATTGGCAGTGTACGTGTTTAGATGTAGGTCAGATGTCCAGATATCAGATAAATATCTGATGTTAAACCACATTTGGAAGTGGCTCAGAATTGTATCTTTGTGTTCACACGTGTGCAATAATATCCAAACGGTGTCAGAAGTGAGTTTGTGTGTTTGTGCCTATTGTGTTTGGTGTTGAAATGACTTGAGCTTTACACTGACAGCAGCGAGTGTTGAGCTGTAGCAGTGATAGTGCAGTGTGTCATGGCTGAATCATTCCTATATGACTAATGCTTGTGCTCATCGTCGCTAGGGATTCTGGGGCCTCTTGTACAGGTCATTGTTTTGGTCCCTACCTGAGGGCCGCTGTAACTCTGTTCCACTGTGACCTTCTGTCCAACGTCCTTGACCGCCAGCGTTATGGCGTCATCATGACTTTACTGCATCTCTAACGGGCCGTTCATACAGAATGCATCTTTGCATTGCTTTCGAGACAGGATGCAATAACAGAAAATAGCCAAACAGCAGAATAGATAGCAACTATTTTGGAATATACTGTATAGAAATGTTATATAATTCAGGGTATCCAGCCACTATGAGTGCATTGTCTGCCATGTTGCTGTAAAAATAAATCAGTAGCCATACCAACTTGCTACTGTAAACAAAAGCTGTTTTGGAACTGACGTTGATGAGCCTGTCAGTAAACTGATACTGTTATGATTGGCTAACGTCACTGCATCAGAGACTATATCAACGCCCACTCACTATTGTACGTGTGTTTTGATAACATTATCCATATCAAACCATAATTTAAAGAGCATTATGAAATTACTTACACTGCTGTTCAAATGTTTGGGATCAAGATTTTTAATGTTTTTTTAAAGAAGTTTCTTCTGCTCAGTAAAGCTGCATTTATTTGATTAAAAATACAGAAAAAAACAGTAATATTGTGAAATATTATTGCAATTTAAAATAATGGTTTTCTATGTAAATATATTTGTATTGTAATTTATTCCTGTCTTGCAAAGCTGAATTTTCAGAATCATTACTCCAGTCTTCAGTGTCACATGTTCCTTCAGAAATCATTGTTGATTTATTATCAATGTTTTTAACCTTTTTTGGAACCCTGTTTCAGGTTTCTTTGATGAATAAAAAGCATAAAAACAACATTGATTTAAAATAGAAATCTACACTACCGTTCAAAAATTTGGGGTCAGTAATTTTTTTCTTTCTAGTTTTGAAAGAAATTATACTTTGATTCAGCAAGGATATGTTAAATAAATGAAAAAAAGTGATAGTAAAGACATATTGTTAGAAACATTTCTGTTTTGAATGATTGCTGTTCTTTTTAACTTTATTCATCCAGGGTTTCCGTGGGGTCTTAAAAAGTCTTAAGTTTAGTTGTATCAAATTTAAGGCCTTAAAAAGTCTTAAATTGTACAAGAAAGTCTTAATTATGATTTCAAGAGGCCTTAAATTTGGGGACGGAAAGACCAGAATTGCGATATGGCTCAATGTGACGATTAAACTTCAAAAGGCTATGAAACATGAGCGCTGCACGTTCAAAGTCCATTGCTGCGCTGCTTTGTGTACTGCCTTTACCGGGGAAACAGTTATATTTCTACCAAACGCGATCCAGAGAATGAATGTTTTCAATTTCAATAAAACTTGTTTTGAACAGAGTTCAGACAAATGCGAAAATCCTCCCATGTTTTTACCATGCAAACACGCAGAGCTTTAAATGTGAACTGGTGGATCGATAAGGAAACAATACATTATAAATATCTTAATGGGGTGGGCGAAATGGTATGCGATAATATCGTAATTGTAGTTTTAACGATGTGCGATTTGACATTATCGAGTATATTGCGAAAAGCAAAAAAACAAGTTTAGTAAGTTAACATAGGTTAAACTAGTGCACGTATGCAT